CTCAAACAGCTGTGTTACTGGTCCTAGGGATGAGGTACTTAACAAAAATTTCCCTGCAGTGAAGGATATCATTCTCTTACAGCGAGCAGCAGAGGCCTTTTTTCTATCAATAGAACGTAAGCCTAGTCGAGAGAACATAAACTCGTGTTTTCTTAATCCTGAGCCAACCTAATAACTCAGATTGAGTGTATGAACTTTCAACTTCAGAATCAGTCAGGAATTGCAGTTTTAATTTGGAACAACTAAACTGTTCTTTCCGTCTGCCAGGACCTGTAATTTCGTTTTTCGAACGGCCGCTTTTTCACGTCATTGATTTCCTCAGCGAATCAATCGTGCGACGATCAATTATCGCATGAAGTATTAAAACACATTTTTTTACGCAAGAGTTAAAGATGCGTAAATTTCCGATTTCATGCTGTGGTTGTAACAACACAAAACTGCATGAATTACGGAATGCATCCGACGCCGCTTTTATTATCTAATATTATTATAGTTGTGCCCTTCCAATTAAAATGGCGCCGAAGCCACGTGCGAAGTATACTCTCTCACTAAATTAATGAACTACTTGTAACAGTATATTGCGTCTAGAATTAACGGAACTCACTTTGCCTCGCATTTCTCATCTTTTCGATAAACGATCTTCCATTGGAGACTTTGTCCTCAATTGCTTCACACAAAGCTTTAAGTAAGGGGACTACTACTTTCCCTTCGTTTTCCAAATCTGCAAAGCAAGCATTTTATTTTGCATCTATCCAGACGCAGTATGTTATCAATTACAAATAAAACTGACCAAAAGCAGCTCACTGTTTCCTCTTCCTCCCCCCCATTCCGCCCTTTCTCCACTTAATCCAGGCTTTCAAACTATTGTCTCACTCCCACTTAAGTAAAATAAAATCATATCCTCATCTCACCTGAAAAATATAATTCCTCCTCTTTCTCTCTATGTTTTATATCTTTACACACTGCAATCAAAAGAATAGTGAAACTTCTCAAACAGCCGTACGCGTGTCATTAGTCTTAGGGATGAGGTACTTAACAAAAACTTCCCCACTGAAGGATATCATTTTCTTTCACCAAGCAGCAGAAGC